CCAATACTAGGGAAAATTTTATATAGAGCCGAGGCTCTAAACAATCAAATTCGAGCCTACCACAAAAATTTCACTAGAAGAGATTGTTTTGATGGCCAAATATCCTCAAATTCATCATCTCGACATACAGTTGCATGGACATGAGAAAAAAAATAGATTTCAAGTTTTGGAAAAAGTGTATTTTGTAACGCACTTTTGGACCGTCAATTTTCAAGACTTTCAAGTTTTCATAGATCTCTCAATCTACACTATTTTTTAAGCTTTAAACTTTATAAATAAAAATGAAAATACATTTTAAGGCTTTCAAAAAGATTTTCAGTTCTGAAACCATGTTTCTCAACACTATTTGAAGGTAGGCTCTAATTTGATTATTTAGAGCCTAAGCTCTATACAAACCACACCCGTTAAAGTAGGTCCTAATGAAATTTTATTTAAGATGTTGTGCCGATTCAATGACATCCTCAATGGGCCGATAAACATGGCGAAGCGGGGCCGATAAACATGGCGAAGCGGTCTAAACATGGCGAGGGTAGGACTGGGACCCAACTGTGGAATCTATCGGTGTGTGTGGATCCACCCTTGGATGACGTGGCAGTAGCTAAGAATGTTGGGGAGGAAGAAAAATTACCAAACTACCCTTAATCAAATTAGTCGATTTGTCTTCAAAGTCCAATTTCCTTGGTCACCTCTAATATATAATTTTATATGTTACTCCCTTCCAACATGTGCTTCTTTTTACATTTTTGCGGTTTGTATAGAGTCTACTTTCAAATAGTGTCGAGAAATGTGGTTTGAAAATTTTTGTGACAGTTTTAAAATATATTTTTATTTTTAAAGTTTAAAGCTTTATAAATAGGACAGGTCTATGAAAACTTGAACATCTTGAAAATTGACGGTCCAAAAATGTGTTACAAATACACTATTTTCAAAACTTGAAATTCTTTTTTTTTTTTTGTCTCATGTCCATGCATCTTGATGTTGAGATGATCAATTTGAGGATATTTGAATATCAAATCAACCTATTTTAGTGAAATTTTTGATATAGGCTCTAATTTGATTGTTTAGAGCCTCGGCTCTAAATAAACTTTTCCGTAATATGAATACCCAAAGCCTTAAAATAATTATATGTGGTCTTTGGTAGTTGGTAGTTGGTAGTTGTAGGAAGTAAACCTTGACGGTTTCTAATATTTTCTTCTGAAGTGATATCTGGATTAGTTGGACTTATAAACTTTGAAGCACAATAATTTTCTGATTATTTAAGACTTGGATTATAATAAGGGTGCAGCTTGTATAGATCTAAACAATTAAATTAGAGTCCCCTTTCAAATAGTATCTAAAAATATGGTTTCAATACTGAAAATTTTTGTAATAGCCTTAAAATATACTTTCATCTTTAATTATAAAACTTAAAGCTTCCAAAATAGTGTAGATCAAGCAGATCTATGAAAATCTTGGAAATTGATGGTAAAAAAATGTGTTACAAGATGCACTACTTCCGAAACTTGAAATCTATTTTTTTTCTCATGTCCATGCATTTTGATTTCAAGATAATCAATTTGATGATATTTGGGCATCAAAATAACCTATTCTAGTGAAAGTATTGAGGTATGCTCTAATTTTATTGTTTAGAGCCTAGGCTCTATATAAACTTTTCCGATAATGATGATGAAAGCAACTAACTGAGGGATATGATGACCTGATAAATATTTTGGAAAAATAATGTTATTTGCACCTAGACAACCAAAGTGTTACATGAGTGTAGCTTTAAATCTTCAAAATTGTGAGTTAGAATATGTTTGCGGACTGGCCATTATTATTAATCTCTTTTATAAACTTTTATTTTTATTTTTATTTATTTTATTTTTTATTTTAAATATTTATCGAGATCACCATTTCAGACCAATCCACATGAGTGATGACATGGAGGATCCTCTTAGTTTTGAAACACCGTTTATGTGATGGTTCGAGAGTTTAAGCCGTGTTAAACATAACCTCCTCCTTAACTATCTGGATCAGGCACCACCACGGTGGACAAAAGTAACACGTGTACCGGCCCCACATGCCACGTGGAAAGCACAACTCCCTTGAAAATAAAATACTCGGAAAAAAACACAAATTAAATAAGATGGAAAAGTAAGTGCGTATGTGATCCCAAGTTGGGATTCCCATCCAAGCCTGGGGAATCCGCGGGGTCCACACAGCGATGACCTGGCATTTAAGGGAAAATAGGCACCAATATGATAAAAATATCCACAATACCGTCCGTTTTATAAAAATTTAAAATACAAGTGAAAATATAAATAAAAGATGGCTCCGAAATTTGGATTCAAAGACCAAGGAGTTTAGGCCAAGTCTATTTGACCAAAACTGCCCCTTTTGTGGCTGAAAAGTATGCAACCATGAGTTACCACTATATTCCTAAATGTGGTAATCGTAATTTCAAGGTCGTCTGGCGATTTTGAGCCACCTCAAACGATTTTGAGTCAGTTTTGTGGTTTATTAGAATCCTATCTAAAACCGTAGCCGGCACTTGGAAACTTCTCATCCAAACATGATTTGCTATTTAATAGTTGAAACTGTTTTGATATTGGTGCGATCCTAAGTAAAACCTCACCACAAAATTTATCAAAAATTGTAGTTTTGGTATTGAAAAGCCTTCAAATCTAGCATCTCAATATTGACCATTATGTTGTGAAAAGAGATTAGGATTTCAAGTGATAGAAATAGTGTATGTTATAAGACATTATCTAGACCATTTATTTCACCTTAAAAATAACTGTTCACGGATCCGCAATATCTATATCATTTTTTAAATTTCAAATTTTGTAATCGAGGTTAGAAATTGATTTTAAAGACATCATAGATACTTTTGATATGTGCTTTTTGGACGAAGATTCAAGGTAAGACTTTACTTTATATCGTAAGGCCTAGGCCTTATAGAAACTACATCCTTCACTAATTTATTACCCCCTATCCATTATTAATTTACTATTTCTTGTATTTTTTCATAGGAATTTTCCATTATCCTGAACATAGTTATCAAAACTGGACCAAACCGATAGTCTGATTGGCAGAATTGGTGACCAGACCCCTATCCTGTCCGACATGAGTACTAAACCAGTATTTTTTAAGAACCGGTCAAAACCAGCGATTGCACGGTTGAACTAGTGTGAACATTAGTTTGGTCGCTTCTCTTGGATTAACTGGCCCATCTCTTCCCCCTTTCTCTCTTGCTATTTTGGCCTAATTTTTTTCAATTTTGTTCTATATTTTCTATTTTGATTGCAAATGCTATTATGCCTTCAAAATTTGTAATCCAAAAGAGATTTTAGCAAAAAATCGTCACCCTAAATGGTTAAAAAAAAGTTTTCTTACTTACAATTTTGGTATACACTCTTCATCTTTTTGCTGCATTTTTTTTTTGTTTAAAAATTTTCTTCCCTCTCTTTGGAACCACTTGTTTTCTGTCTTCAATGGGATAAAAGCCCATCTAGTTGTTCAGTGACACACTTCGACTTTATGAATAATGATGCCATTGACTATCTTAAGTTTTCCATTGAAACCATGTAATTTACTAAACAAAATCCTGCAACACTTAATATTTTGTGCAAGTTAGAATTATTTACAATTATTTATGATAAAATCTCTTAATTTTAACCAAGTTTTCAACCGTTTTACCTCATAGTTTTAAGGAAAAATTGCGTACATATATGTTATAATTTGCGTTATTACAAAACTACCGAATAGTTTATGTTATTATCTATATGTCCATTTTTTTTCATGTCATAACAAATTAAAAAAAAAAAACAATTTTACCTTTTTTTGATTGTTGAACAACCGAATTCAATCGATTTTCGGTTGTTCAACCACCGAAATCAGATCAATTTTGGTTTTTGAAAAACCGAAAATTCAAAATTTTTGGTTATTGAAGTATCAAAAATTTTAAAGTTTCAATTCTTCAACAACCCAATTCAATAGATTTTTGGTTGTTCAACAACCGATCTCTTATTCACCTATGTTTTACCTATCTTTTCCTTTTAAACTCTATTGCGAAGAGTTTAAACCCACCCAATCTAAGGTATAGAGTGAGAATAGATAAACATAGACCCCTATGTTTATCCATTCTCTCTCCTATGTTTATTCATTCTCTCTATATATATTTTACATTGGGTGGGTTTAAACGTTTATCCATTCTCCCTCCCATGTGGTTTAAACGTTTATCCATTATTTCTCTTATGTTTATCCATTCACTCTATACCTTAGGGTTTAAACTCTCCCTTATGTTTATCCATTCTTTCTACAAATGACTAATCTACGTGGATAAACATCGGAAAGAATTTAAAGGGAAAAAATAATTTAGTTGAAAATTTTTAGGTTCTTTAACAGCCGAAAATTTTAAATTTTCGATTCTTCAAAAACCCAAATTGACATGATATCGAAAAAAAGGTAAAATTGTCTTTTTTTTAATTTTTGTTATGACGTAAAAAAATGGACAGATAGATAATATCGGAAATTATTCGATAGCTTTGTAATAACGCAAACTATAACGGATATATATGTAATTTTTTCTAGTTTTAATATTATATATATATATATATAATTTGACCAATCAGATCACCGATTGAATCAGTTTTAAATGGACCAATTTTTTTATAAAATTGAGTGTTGATACGATCGGATAATAACATACCACTGATTGAACCAGTTCTAAATGGATCAATCATCTCACAAATTCCGATCAGACCACTGATCTTGAAAATACAAGGATCCTATGGGTCCTTTTCTTAGTTGCTAGGTATTTCACATCATGCAAAAAAAGGGTGGCAAGTGGGGGCATATCTGTCCTTTTACTTAATGGGTAAGTGGACGGGTCGATTAATCGGGGTTAAAAAATAACCAATGGCTCTGGTCATATAAAAACCCTGGTTCGTGTGACTGGATATGGACGGATAAATGTGGACGTATAACAAAAAAGGGTAAAAACTTTAATCCCCAGAAATTAAGAACAAGAAAAAAGAAAGAAGAAGGTAATAAAGAAAATAAGCAGGGGAAAAATCAATTAAAAGCGCGTATAATTGATTTTATTACTTGGAAATTGTAATAAATCGGGGCAAAATTGCAGTCAGAAAGGCTAAAGGCTAAAGGCTCTCTAGAAGGTGTAAAGCCAAGCTCTCTCGTTCTTGCAGTCAAAAATTGAGGGCTCAGGTATAAATTTCCTGTGAAAATATTGTTTAATTTTCATTTTCAGTTGTAATTGTCGTTAAATAAGAGCCACAACCTTTTCAAGGCCAGAGACAGAGTGGAAATTAGGGTTTTTCTTCGTCTCTTTTCTCTTAATCATTTGTTGTTTTACCTTGTTTTCTTTCTTGTTTTCGTTTTAATGGCGGATAATTGTCTTAAATGGGGAGATGTATGATGCATTTGGGGCAAACAGATCTATCAATATTCGCAGAGAGATAGAGAGAGATAGAGAGAGATAGAGAGAGAGAGAGTTCTTTTTTTAGCAGCTGGGGTATGTAAAAATTCCATATTTTATTTTATTTTGTTTAATTTCTCTTCGATTTTTATCAAATGAGTTGGGATCTCATCTTTGTTGGACTTGGATCCTTCTTTAGTTTTGCATTTCATGCTATTTTTTGTTTAATTTTCTGAGATTTTTCTATTTTCTCCGTCTTATTTCGCTGGAAATGGCCTTTTGTTTGGCTGAAAATGGCCCTCTTTTTTGCTGGATTTTTATTAGGGAGACACACTGTTCGTATATTTTGTCTTTGGTTTTGATTTTGGCGGTTTTGTCTGTTTGGAATGCTCTCGAATTTCCATGGATCCACCTGTTATTCCATTGATGCTTCTCACTTTGAAAGCTCAATTGAATGTTTTTTTGTTTTCTGCATTTTTTTTATTTTGTCTCAAATGTTACTTTTTTATTAATTAAAGCAACCGCTTTGTAGGTTCCCTGGGTCTTGAAATGTCTTATATCATGTTATTTGGTGTTTCTTTAAAAGCAAATGGTTTTAAGGATTGGAATTAGGGCATTAGGACTTCTCTTTTAATGGTTTTAAGGATTAGAATTAGGGCATTAGGAATTCTCTGATCCTGGATATCGGTTTTACTGAATTTGCAGCTCTGAGGCCCTCATTGTGGACATTTGGTCATGAATTAAGAAGAGAAATTCACCGAATTGGCTTCTGTACCAGTCATTCTTGCTGACTTGGGGGTCTTGTTGGGGTTTTCATTTCCAAATTTGCTGGCTAGAGGTGGTTCGGGTTGAATTTGTTATTATCTCTTCTTTCTGGCTTTGAATGTATTCACATAGTGGTGGCTTTTGATTGAAGATGCAAAGCTGTTTCTAATCTTGCCATATCAGATACTGATTGTTTAGAGGTAAATATTCATTACATTTTCCTGTATTTAATCCGTAATTGTTGCTTTTTATTGGAATTTAAAAGGAATTGGATCCACCTTTCTAGTTTTTATTAATTCTAGCATCAGTTTGGCTAATGGTTGTGCCGATGCCTACTTTTTGCATTATCTTTTTTTTCATGGAAAGATTTTTAGCCTTTCCTTCTTCTGCAAAAAAGTTGAAGACATTGCATTTCAAATTTGGTTATTTGCAGAAAGAGACAAGATCCATGCTTTAGCTTCCTTTTGGGTTATTCCGTTCAGTTAGCATCTCTTATCTTAATTGGTCTGAAAGCAAAGCGTTTTAGATAAGGAAAACTGACAAAAAGAGAATAAACAAGCTGGGTGTTTTCCTCTGTAAATTCGTATCAATCTTCACCTTCTACCTTTACTGAAAAGCCAGCTTTGGAGAAGGAGAAATTGGGCTCTTCTTTATTGGGTCTTTAGTGCCGCTGCCAAAAATAATCTATTTATTGGGTCTCTATATCAATACCAATCCAGAAGGCCAAAGGGTGTTTAATTTTGTTGGGGGAGGAAATTGGGCAAAGTGTATTCTACCAAGAAACATTGGGGTTTTAATCTGGCAGCTGGTCTGGAGTGCATACTCAGTATTATCAGGGCCCTCAGAATGGGGTCCTGCTTATCTTCGGATGGGAGGAGCCCTCTCCCCTGTTCTCCTTCATCTGCTTCGGGTGGAAGGAAACAGAGAAGGAACACCAAGAAGAAACATGGTTTTGATTCGAGGAGAGTCGAACAGTTGCAGCGTGTCCCTGGTAGGATGTTTCTGAATGGGTCAAGCAAAGTTGCTTCTCTCTTTACTCAGCAAGGGAGAAAGGGGACCAACCAAGATGCCATGATAGTGTGGGAGGTGAGTTTTGGCATTGTTTATGTATGGATCTTATACTTATTGGAAGGTTACTGGTTACATTATCAAATGGCGAACTTGCTTGTGAGATTTATTAGTAATTTATTTAGTTTAGTTGCAGAATATGGATCTGATTGATAAGTGCATAAAAAGCATGTTTTCATATTTCTGCCTAATCCATGGTGTCATTGTTCTTTATTTTTTAATTCTGTTGACCTTCTTGATGTGAGGAAATATTATTTCTCTCATCCTATTCTCTATTCTTTTTTACTGAGTCTTGAAGGTTTTTTGCCTGGAAAATTACCAAAATATCTCATTTATATTATAAAGGTTATGGTAATGCTTTTGAATCTAGAAAAATCAGGATGCCCAGAATCCTTGTAAGACATTAAAGGGCTCTTTTCAGTTGAGTTTGCAAACTAGACTGGTTGAATGTTGAGAAGAGTACACTTCCCCATGCCAAACCCAAAAATTTTCGATATTAGCTATGGGACTTTGTTTCCTCAAGACTTTGTGATGAAGCATCAAATTATGGAAACAAAACGTAATGCCAAACTTAAGACGTGCGATTAGGAAAACCTTATTTTTGCTTCTGTTAGGTCATTGTGGGATTTAAAATTGGACGTAGAGTTGCAACCACAATTTGTTACCAATCAATCCAGGGCGATAATCTTTGCAAATGGCAAACATGCTAACTGAACCATTAAAATATGGCAGAATGAACCAATCATTTACAGCGACTCACTGAGGCTTTATTGATAAAATTATACTCGTGAAGGTTTCTGATGATGGTGGTTGCTGAATATTTTAGAATTTAATCGTTACTAATTGCAGCTTGGGATTGACACGTAGTATGATTTCCCCATGTTTCCTATTTACATCTTTTCTCAGAAGTTTGATTCAGCTATTCATGTTCTTAATGATATATGTGATTGTAGTGCACAATCTAGAACTTCATCTTTATTATTGTCTCTAAGAATAATAATTTATAGGTATTTTTATGGGTCCGTGTGAAATTTTAGCGTAGTTCAAAAATTGTCATGCCTTTCTAACATAATAGCATCCATTTCTTTGCTTGCATTTTTTATTTTCAGGTGAGAAACTAATAAGCTTTTCTTGGTTCTTTGGCTATTTGATTGCCTTCTATGCCCTTTCTTCTTTTTTCTTCTTAGTTGCATATATCTGGCACTAGATGATCATGCTTGTTATATTTTAGTTATTAAACTTGAACATGCAAAGAATCTCTTTTTGTCAGTTGCTTTTTATGGTTCAGTTCTATAAACTGGTTTGGTTCCATAAAATTCTACATGCTTAGGGACAAAGGTAGATAACTTTTGCCTTAAAAATATTTATCTTGCTTGTTGGAAAATAGCTGGGGCATTACATGTATAGGTCAATAAGAGGGTTCAGCATAGTAGTTGTCTCTTTCTGTTTATGTTGCTTGTCATCTGATTAGTTATACTTTCCCTGGAGTTCATCTTGATAACACATTCTCACTATACTGTTAACCAGGTGCAGATTTCCTTTTACTTACATTCTTATGTGCTTATGGATTGTGATCGTTGACTTGATTATTTGACGATGTATCTTTCTTATCCTCAATCATCTGATCCATATCCATTCATGGAGTCAGTTTTTAATATTCAAATTTTATAGCTCTGTTTATTGACTCATTTCTTTGTGTTTTTTAGTTATGATTTATCTTCTTGCTCATCATATGGTGCAAGACAGGATGCCTAGTGCTTTTGAATTTTTCTGTTAAATTTAAGGGATACTTTTTGGGGTTTTTTTTTTTTGTAATTTTTAATTTTTTTAAGGGATTTTAGGGGGGCTTTTAGTTTTCTAGGATTTTAGATGTTGTTTGGAAAAAGTCGTTAGAGTCCTTACAGTATTATTTATTTGATCAGGTGTCAAATTGTCATTTTGAAATTTATTTTAGTTAGAACTTACTATGTCAATTAGATTTAGGATTGCTGGGGACGTAATATCTTTTATTATAAATAGGGACACATGTAGATGATTTGGAAGTAGAGTTGATTGTTGCATAAGAACATTGTTCTTTGAGAGTTCTAGTGAATTCGTAGAGCTATCGAAGTTAGGTTTGTTACTTCCTTTTATTTTCAATCAAATTGGCAAGAATGTTTGAATTTAAATCATCTGGTATCAGAGCCTGCTCATCTCCCAAAGTGCCTTAGAGCCGCTGCAAGTTGCATACGGTTCAAGGTGGTCGTGGTCTAGGAGGTGGAGGTTTAGCATCACACTAAGATATCAATGACATATTGAGGAAAATTAATGAATTGGTGTATGAGATATGTCAAAAGCATTCAAATCGAAGAAGGTTTGAGGAATTGGTGCATGAGGTGCATCCAACCCTTTTTGATCGAAATTTGGTTGTTCGCTGCAATTGTCAAATTGGAATCTATGAATGAAGGTTATTTCCTGAACCATGAAAAAGATGAAGCGATGCTTTATAGCAAGTGAAGAAACAACAAAGATTTATTTTTAGGTGCGTTTACAGAGTCTGAGATTGAACCTCCGTCCTTTGACGAGCACCCAGATGAAGAAGTGAGTTATTCAATTTTTGAAGGAGTTACCAAGTGACCCAAGCCTTAGAGATTGTGAAATCTGAGCAAGAAAAGGAGCAGAACGAATGCCAAGAAGAGATACATTGAGTCCCTGATCAAGTTAGGTTTCCATCCAATGATGCAAAACTCGTTTTTGCTATTGAGAGATGCCTGATGTTGAGAAGGCAGTAGAGGACCTGATGAAAATTGAGTCCATTAAGGACCTGAAAGATATTGCAGAGTTGGAGATTTCTGCGGTTTTAGGACTCTGAAATCAGAGCAGTGAAGAGGAAGCGTGGTGCATCCTTAACCCACTAACGACGAGGAAACCTAATTCTTGAAGTTGGGAGAGTCGTATCTTTGACAGAAAGTAACTGTTTGCTCGTCACTCAGAATCGCTATTGTTGGAACGTGTTAGAAAGCTTATTCAAAGCTCTACGACATTTCAAGCAACTTTGTTGGTTTCACCTACTAATTTTATGAGAAAAGGTTTCTAGGTGGTCGAAATCTAAGTCTGAAAATTTTGTTGCACATTTTGTGGGTTTCAATTAATGGTAGTTTCCAGTGTAATATCAGGAATAGCTGAATTTGATTAGTTTGTAACAATTCCCCAATGCACATACTAAGATCCTTTATCTGAAAATTTCTCCCTACCAAGGATACTCTTAAGGCTTGAAAGGGTGGTTGTAATTGTAGATTCGATGTGGGTTTCATAGCACACTTCAAACTTGAGATGAGTTTTCTCGTACCGAGGGAGTTTGATGCAGGACATGATGCTTCGATTTTGAATTTTTTCTATTAAGTTTTTGGGATGTGTCTTTTTAGAGTTTTTTTTTGGCATTTTTAAGTTTTTTTGTCAATCTTTTAGCAGTTTTTTGGGGTTCTTCTGGACTTTAAGGGCTCTTCTGAAAAAGTAGGAGTCTTTATGGAACTGTTTGCTTTATCAAGGTGATAAAAGAGTCATTATGAATCTTACATTGATTAGGACTTCTATTTTATTTTGAATTATGATTTCTTGGGTTCTAAGTGCGGTCTTTTATTATAAATAGGATTCATGTAGATGATTTAGATAGAGTTGATTATTGTTTAAGAATATTGTTCAAAGAGAATTCTAGTCACAGAGCTATTGAAGCTAGGCTTGTTAACTTTTCTTTTATTTTCAATCAAATTATTATGGCCTTGTGTCTTGCCATTTACTTGTTCGGATTTACGTCTTCGTAGTTCTTTTCCTGTAATTTATGGAAAGAATGAAGTGAGAGTTGGATTTGTTCCTCAATGATGATATTATTTCTGAACATTGCTTTTTGGTGTTTGTCTCCTTCAGAATTTTGGTTCAAGAACGGATACAGTTTTCTGTGGGGTTTTTGATGGTCATGGCCCTTATGGGCACATGGTTGCCAAAAGAGTGAGAGATTCCCTTCCTTTGAAATTGAGTGCTCACTGGGAAGTAAACATAGGTAGTGAAGAAGGGCTTCGTGAAAACAGCAGCATATCAGGAAGCATGAACTCGGAAGACTCAGCTTTCATGTGCCTGGATGAGGAATCAAGGGATTCAATGGACCTCGAGGAAAAGGAGAAGCTCGCTGAAATCTTCATGAGTCTCAAGGATTCGTTTCTTAAGGCATTCAAAGTGATGGATAAAGAATTGAGACTACACCCAGCAATTGATTGCTTCTGCAGTGGTACAACAGCTGTCACTCTGGTCAAGCAGGTAAATTTTCTTTAGGACTTCCCTTCATTTCAATGCGTCTACTTGCTCTTTAGTCATTGGATTATTCCAAGCTGCTTTTTTTTTTTTTCGATTGGGTTATTTAGTTAGCTTAGTTTTGTTTAAGTATTTCAGTTTTATTTGCTATTTGCTCCTGCAGGGTCAAGATCTTGTGATTGGGAATATTGGTGACTCGAGAGCTATACTGGGCACCAGGGATGAAGATGACTCCCTTATTGCAGTTCAGCTCACTGTAGACCTTAAACCCAATCTACCAAGTAGGTCTCTCTCTGTCTCTCTTGCTCTCTCTCTCTCTCACACACACACACATGCACACACACACTTTCATGGACACTCCCAAAACCCATCCATTTATCTTCGTATAAACACAAATGTCATCATTGTTGTTGATTTCTGTTGTCACCTCATTTGAGACATTTTTTGAGATCAATATTAGCTAGGATTTATCCATCTGACCCTGCACACCAGATTCATGGAGAAAGCTTATGGCGTTCACTGCCTAATTAATTATCCAGAATTCTTATGTGATATCTCTCCAATGGGCATATAAGCCACTAGCCGAAGTTATTCTGTTTTGAATTAATGTTATTATGGCTGATGCGTCGAAGTTATTCTGTTTTGGATTAATGTTATTGTGGCTGAAACTAATGCATCATTACCCCCAACGCTCTTGCTTTCCCTGTTAAATAGACGATCCACATAAACTCCTTTATCCAGTTATAGTTATGGGTACTACACGTGTGGATGATCTGCTGCTTTTGTCTTTCAGGGCTTTGCTCAAGGTTCCAGTTTGAGATTCCACTAGTTCAATCAAGATTTCTTATGGTTTCATAAAATTCCTGGTTTTGTCTCTTGCATATATGCATTTTGTTAAGTACAATTACTGATCAGTATTCAGACAACTCTTCTGGTATGTATAGGAGAAGCTGAGAGGATAAGGCAATGCAGAGGTCGGGTGTTTGCTCTTCAGGATGAGCCAGAGGTGGCGAGAGTATGGCTTCCAAATAACGACTCCCCTGGTCTGGCCATGGCAAGAGCCTTTGGCGACTTTTGCCTCAAGGATTATGGCCTCATCTCTGTTCCTGACGTCTCGTATCGCCGCCTCACTGAGAGAGACGAGTTCATTGTGCTTGCTACCGATGGGGTAAGTCCTCCCACTGCTATTCTCCACAAATTTGTGTGATTATTATGCTAGGACATGTGCTATCTTATGTGGGGTCTTTGCTGGTGACCCCTCAAAACACATTGCAGTTCTAGATTGGAGCTTTACTCACATCCCTGTGATTTATTCAGACTTTTAGGGATCGCCCCATCCTTGACCCCATCTCTGTCTCTCTCTCTCTCTCTCTCTCTCTCTCTGTGTTGAGTGCCATGTTGAGGCACGCGACATCATTCATGATCTCTTCCTGTTGCGTACTGGCCAGGGAATGTTCTTCTGGCATTAGAGAAATGCTGTTTATATCATTGCTTGTTGATATGCTCTTATCATTACTGGTATTTCATATTATGGACTTTTTGGAATTGTATTGAACCCAATTTCCCACCTTGTGTGCAGGTGTGGGACGTGCTCTCGAACAAGGAGGTGGTGGACATTGTGGCCTCTGCAATGACGCGCACCACTGCTGCACGCTCCCTAGTGGAGAGCGCTGTGCGTGCCTGGCGGTACAAATACCCCACCTCTAAGGTCGACGATTGTGCTGTGGTCTGCCTCTTTCTTGATCACCCCACTAAGAAGTCTCCCTTGGAAGAATCTATCGGAGCCCCACCGTCCCAAGAAGAGGTGGGGCCCATGGCCAACCCCTCCGAGGATGAGGAAACCCCCCCCCCATTCGAGCGCTCAGCCACTGTGCGCGAGGGTTGCGAGATCTCACCAGATTCTAGCAAGAAAGAGCTTATAAAGGAAAGTGGCAGTATTGGGGTAGACGAGTGGTGTGCTCTTGAGGGAGTTAGTAGAGTGAATACACTCTTAGCACTCCCAAGGTTTGTGCCTAGCGATAAGTGGCCACCAGACCGAGAGGCCAGAAAGTGATCAAAAGATTTGGTGGAGGTATTTTTAATGATTCAAAATTCGTTTTATCTTTCTTCGTCAGATTCAGTGAGTTGGTTCTTGGTGGGAAATGAGCTCTCTCCCTCTTTCAAGCTCTCATTTGGGTGCTCTGTCCCTCTCTCTCCTCTTCGCCAATCTCTTCCCATCTCTTTCAATCTTTCCCGATTGCATCCCTATGTACTATGGCGAGGCCTTGATGGTGTTCAGAGAAGCCTGGCTTTGTAATATCTAGCCATAGAATCAACTCTGGGTTTTGGTAGGTAATTCATTTTAGAGTTTTGTTTTGTTTAATTTATCTTTTCTGGTATTAGTAATTTGATATGTTTGGGTTCCTCTACTATGTTTTTAGTATGGTAGAATTGAAGCCTCAAAGTGCTTCAACATGTGGAAGCCCCTAAAAGATTTGTGTGATGTCTCCGTGGCAGTGATCACTGTTCTAGTCGTCGTCGGTCCTCTATTCCTGTTGTACCAATCATAATAAATGAAATTTATGATAATATGTATCCTTACAGTCTCACTCTATTTATTTCTTTCGCATTTTGCTGTGAGTATCGAGTTACTATGCAACTGAAAACCAAGATGGACTCATTCTCAAAAAAAAAAAAAAGAAAAAAAAAAGAAAGATAATCAAGATGGACTTGTCGGAAAGAACTGATTATTCAAGCCATCAATCTTACCATCTGTGGAACACAATTTTTTATTTATTTTCACAAGAAGTTTACCTTTTTGTCTGTTCCTTTTTTGACCAACAGAGAATGAATTTTTTGCCAAATTTAGCGGAGTGAGGTTTCTCGACTGTTTTTTGTTTTACTTTTGAAGTGATAACTTACATAAAAAAAAAAACATTTGTACAGGGATGGATGTACACAAAGAGAGGAGAAGGCGTTAAGAGAGGAAGGAAGAGAAATATAGAGAGAAAAAAGAGGATGAGGACAAGAAAGAGAACTACGAAAGAAAAAAATAAACAAGAAAATAGAGAGAAAAGAAGAGAAAAAGTAAACAAGAAAATAGAGAGAAAAGAAGAGAAAAAGTAAACAAGAAAATAGAGAGAAAAGAAGAGAAAAAGTAAACAAGAAAATAGAGAGGAAAGAAAGAGGATGAGGTCAAGAGAGAAGTACAAAAGAAAATTATAACTAAGGTGAGAGGGAATCGGCTGCCAACAATGTTAACATTGATTGGCTCTGAAGTTCCTGTTGAGCAAGTAGGTCCTTTAGATCATTCTTTTCTAGGAGAGGTCTCAACTTCTAAGGAACCTATTGATTGGCTCTGAAGTTCCTGCTGAGCAAGCAAGTCCTTTAGATCTTTCTTTTCTAGGAGAGGTCTCCACTTCTAAGGAACCTCGACTCCTGAGGATTCTAGTGAATAACATTGGCAGAGTCCCCTTCAATGATGCCTCAGGAGATAGGACTTGGAAGGAGATAGGACTCTTGAGGCTTCAAAGCCTTAAATTCAGCCTCACAATAATGCACTTTCTGACAGGTCTGAAAATGATAAAAGCCACTTCATCAAGATCTCTTAGGGCACCTCTTAACTCCTGCTTATCTTAGATTGCTCATCACACTGTCAACCAAATTAAGCTTAAACTCGGAAGGTGAAGTATCTCATGGGGTTTTGGACTTTGCAGAATTCTCAGACAAGCAACCTCGTTGAGGTTAGAAGTGAGATCTTGTATGGTTATCCCTTTGAACTCCTTTCTTGCTAGGCCCACATCACAATGACGTCCCAAACTTTGTCCCTGATTCTTACAACTTCCCTACTTCGACCCACCAAAATTCTACAGGTCCTTTACTTCCAAATAACCCATAATAGTGCCACCATTGCTATATTCCCTAGAGGGTAATTCCCTTTTTCGGCAAAGATGGGCTGCTGCATTGGAGCATTACATCCACAAGGGATCGAGGAAGCACCCAATTGAAACCAACATACCTGATCAGTTAACTCCATAACTAATAAACAAAGGAGAAAACAAGGAATGGACGATTGATTCTTCTTCATTCTTACACAGAAGAGAGCATTGGCTTCATTCCTCACAAGAAGGAAGTTTTCTGCTATGCCTAATAAGTAATGGTCTCAATAATGGTCTCATTTCCTCACAAGAAGTTTTCTGCTATGCCTAAGACGTAATGGTCTCATTTCCTCACAAGAAGTTTTCTGCTATGCCTAAGACGTAATGGTCTCATTTGATGAATGCTTTTTCATATGAATGAGGCTGAGTTGCGGGAGTGAAGTTTTCTGACGAAGGAGCCAAATCTCTCTTCCATATTTGCTGAAGAGAACCTCTTTTCAAATTGAGTTTTCTTCACCACCACTTTGTAAGTAAAGCTTCGTACATGTGCTCGAGTCTCGGAATGCCTACGCCGCACCCTCTCTTAGGCATTGTGACCTAGGCCCAATTTACTAAATAGAGCTTCTTTGAATCCCCTGCACTGCTCTAGAGAAAGTTCCTCATCAAGTTCTCCAAACTCTTAATGATCTGAGCAGCGATAAACACTATATTGGGAGACTGGATAAGGTGGATTTGATCGAAGTTGTCCTACCACTGAAGAAGAGGTACCTCAACTCTCAAGAATCAAGTTTAGATTGGAAATATGACTGAGGTTCTAAATCGCTTTCGATGGCATTTAATCAAGCAAGGCTGTCCCAGATATTTGGTAGGGAGTAACACATCCAAACCATTGTGCTAGGGCCTGTATCTGACCCTTGATCGCATCACACGCCAATGAAGCTGTTTGTTTGTTTATTTTTATTTTTTTTCCAATTTAACCTACTGCTTAGAAATGACTTCATAGCATTTTAGGAATAGCCATAAACGTTTAATATATTGTGATGAGGCATCATATTGGAGTGGGAGATTACGGCCCACCCCTAGCCAGATCAGAACCCGATAAGAAACCCTTGTCATTAATAGATTTGAACATTGTTTACAATCAGAATCTGGGGGAATTTCTTATGGAACTCTCCCTTATTTGTGCTTTTAATTAAACAGATAAATTTTCAGTAGAGATTGTGAGTTCTGTCGAATTACGATTCAAAGATAGATCTAACCTTGAAGGAGTGGTCCTTTTTTAGAACTGCCGGCAATGATAGCTAAAATCATGCAAAAATGGGGAAAAAAAATTAGAAAGCAAGAAAAAGAATAAAAAGGCAAAAAAATTAATAAAAAGCAACAAATTATTAAACTAAAAGAAAATGAATGAAAATCAGACCTGAGAAAACCCGGAGCTGGGTCTGCATCAGGACCGTGTGTTGATTTAAGCCTTGATGCCTTCTCTGTTGCCTCTAAGAATGGGATTGGAAGGATTTTGGGGAGCCTAGAAGATCTTGTTCTTAAGATTTTGAAATAGGAACATTGTAGAGAATTTTTTAAGGGAATTTTCAAGGGATTGGGCTTAGGGTTTTAGCCTAAGGTATTCTTAGATTTAGGTAGCCTTGGGGAATATTTTGGGATTTTCTAGGTTTTTTTTAAGAACCTCCATAGGATTTTTGGGTTGTGTCATTTTTTAGGACTTTTGATTATTTTTCCTAATTTTCTAGGTTTTCTATTTTTTAAGGGGATTAGATTTTTTTAAATTAAGACCCATTTATCTCATTTTATAATGGAAAAAGCTTATATAAGGTTGCAACAGTAAAATGTAGGTGCACCTCAAAAATCCATCATAAAAGGTTGTTTTGATGTTGGAATATCCTCTAATTGATCACCTCGACATTGAGATATATGAGTATAAAAAGATAAAAAGATTTCAAATCCAAAAAATAGTCTATCTTGCATTACATTATCCAAACCGTCTATTTTCAAGATTTTTATATGTTTATAGATCTACTTAATTTGAACCATTTTTAGAGTTTAAAGTTTTACAATTAGAGATGAAAATAGATTCTCAAGCCATCCTAAAAAATTTCATACCAATTATATTTATAATAAAATTTAGAGGCACTAATTGCTTGGTTTAAGGTTGCAACTTTATTGAAACCTAACCTTCTTATAAATACGTTTTTTTATTTTACAAATATTTTTTCCCTAAATTTTCAGCCATAATTATTTTTTCTCTTTAATAATAAAATCCCACCAATAATTGCGTTCTGTTTCTAGAAGTTTGAGGCAACTCTAGTGTAATAAGGGCTCGTTATTTTAGTGCATTGAATTGGTAAGACACCCTATGATTTAAAATTTCGACACTTTCCTAACATTATCTCTAAAAGTCTTACTAGGAATTTTCATTGTGGTATTCCCTTTTTATTCTCTCTCTTTTTGCGTCTTTCCAGTATGCTAAGGCCGTGGGCATTTTGGTCATAAAATATGAGGTCTTTTAGAAAAATAAAAAGGGAAGAAATAAACTCATGCCAATATTGTCCCATTGTTTTCAATATATTATTATTATTATTATTATTATTATTATTATTATTATTATTATTATTATTATTATTATTATTATTATTATTATTATTATTATTATTATAAAATCATTTGGTGTGCTCAATCATGATCACATGAGTTATGCATCATCAAGTAATTCATAGTCCATAGCAGTGGTTTAAAAAACGAATCGATGCCCCGAATCGGGCACCCCAAAAATCCATCCGAATCGGTGAATCAGTGATTTGGATAGGGAATTGGCCGATTTGATAAGATGCAGCCCTAAAAATATCCCAAAAAATTATTAAAATTCATTATAAATATTGTTTTTTAGGAATCCAATAAGAAATGGCGGTACTCCATTAAGAACTTTCATCTTTTTGCATCAATATTTGAATATTGAGATGTTCTTTCCATGTATGAACTACTGTTAACTATTAAATTTATATCACACAAAAAGATAAGCACAGAATTATTATGGATTAAGTAAATCATCATACATAGACTACAATAAAGCATACTATTAGTAAAATATGACCTAATAATAAAATGAAAGACGACGTTGGTCTTCATCTTGGTCACAATGGTGCCATTGATTGAATTCACATGACAATTCATTGACTCAATCTAAGAGCGAATCATCCAAATTAGTGGGCACTTGGCTATACCCAAATCCCTTAGTATCAGTGTTTTGTTGCGCTCCTAATCCAAAATCTCTAAAGCTTGTCCATCCTTCATGCTCACCTACACTATCGTGTTTTTCCCTATCCTCTTGTTGTTGGGGCTCATTATGTGAATAATTTAGTTGGGATAGGGTGGCATTAGAATTATCTTCTCTCTCATTTTCCCTTACACCCCCTTTCTACTCTTCCTTATTACGTGCAACACCACCGATATCTCCGATGAATTATGGATATATTGACGGGCTGCTTCATCTTTCATGCTGCTCATCACCTTCTTCACGATCTTCCTTATCGATAGCCTCAAGGAGCCCTCTTTTTGGGTAACACTGGCTCTTTTTCCTCTACTACCCATTGTTATGTTGTGTCTGTGACAAATATTGTGTTAAAGTCTATCAGCCCGTAATCTTCAAGCTGCCTTCTTATTTGTCGCTCTAGGAGGTTTAAGTTGTAATGAACGTAGACCAGTTTATGAAGCCTCTCCGAAGCGAATCGATTCCTCCTAGGAGTGTACAATCATTGGAACGTGCTCCAGTTTCGCTCATACCTAATAGCAGAACATGTCTGGTAGAGCACCTTGATTGCTATCTTCTTCACGGGAGGTGCATCAATACCATTTAACGCGTCATTGAGATACAATTCAGAATGCCACAAAGGCAGGTAATTACATGATCATTATAAAAGTTGATGCACAAAGTCTATCTATCCATGAAACTATATAACAACTACAAAGACTCCAATATCATTGGGACTCATCTTGTATCAGAGTCCCAAGGCAAATACATTTCTTACAATGGGTCTACATGAATATCATTTGTTAGTGGATCAACAATCATCAATTGAGTAGGAAAATAACTTTTAGCCAACTATTCACTTCATTGGAGCTAATAACGTTCTTAGAATTATGGGGTATTTCATTCAATTCATTATAATAAACATAATCATCTAAATAACT